GTGCCAGAAACCGGGTGGGAACGGGACCGGGAACGGGGCCGGACTGGCTCCGGGAACCGGGCAGAAGCGGGGCACGAACCGGGAACGGGACCGGGAACGGATCGGGAGTGGTTCCGAGAACCGGGCGGAAGCGGGGCAGGAATCGGGCAGAACCGGGACCGGGAAACGAACGGAACCGGGTCCGGGAACGGACCGGGAGTGGTTCCGAGAACCGGGCGGAACCGGGGCACGAACCGGGACCGGGAACCGGGCAGAACCCGGACCTCGAACGGACCGGGAGTCGTTCCGAGAACCGGGCGGAACCGGGAACCGAGCGGAACCGGGACCGGGGCCGGAGTGGTTCCAAGAACCGGGCGGAAGCGGGACACGAACCGGGCGGAAGCGGGGCAAGAACCGGGCGGAAGCGGACACGAACCGGGCGGAAGCGGAGCCGGAAGCCGCGAGGAAGCGGGACCGGGAACCGGGCGAACGCGGGGCCGGAGCCGGGCGGAAGTGGGGCAGCGGCTCCTCGGGACGGAGCGGGACCCATGGAGGTTGTGGGAGGGACAGTGGGGCTGGGGGGACACGGGGGACTGGGGACCGGGACCGCGGCCACGTCTGACCCGCCCCCGTCTGTCCCCAGGATCCCGGCCCCGAGCCTGACCCCGGCCCCGGCCCGGGCCCGGCCGCCGAGAGCCCGGCGGAGCTGAGCCCCCCGGGGCTGGAAGGTGATTCCGGGGCAGGTCCCGGCACGGGAGGTGACGCGGTGATTTGGGTGTCCCAAGGGCTGCAGCTGCTGCGAGGGTCCTGTCCCGGGGTCTGGGGGATCCCGGAGCTGGGTATGGCAGGATTTGGGATGCTCCGTGACCGGGGGTATCCCGGAGTCTGGGGTACTCCAGAAGCCTGAGACGGGTGTTGTAGGATTTGGGATGCCCCATGAGTGGAGATATCCCAGAGTTAGGGGTGTCCCAGAGCCTTGAGCTGGGTGTCCCGGAATTGGGAGTGAAATGGGACTTGGGGCATTCAAGGGTTTGGGGTATCCCGGGTATTGGTGTATCCCGGGTATTGGTGTGTCCCGGGATTTGGGGTGTCCCGGGTATTGGTGTGTCTCGGGATTTGGGGTATCCCAGGTATTGATGTGTCCCAGGATTTGGGGTGTCACAGGATTTTGGGGTGTCCCGGGATTTGGGGTGTCCCGGGATTTGGTGTGTCCCAGGATTTGGGGTATCCCGGGTATTGGGGTATCCCGGGTATTGATGTGTCCCAGGCTTTGAGGTATCCCAGGTATTGATGTGTCCCAGGATTTTGGGGTGTCCCAGGATTTTGGGGTGTCCTGGGACTGGGGATGCCACAGGATTTGGGGTGTCTGGGATTGGGGGTGTCCCGCGATTGGGGATGTCCCGGGTTTTGGGGTTCTCCAGGTCTTGGGGTGCCCCCTCACGCTGCCACCCCAGGGGACGCTCACCGCGGTGCCTACACCACCTTCATGAAATCCCATCGCTGCTACGACCTGATCCCCACCAGCTCCAAACTGGTCGTCTTCGACACATCCCTGCAGGTGTGCCAGGGCCGGGGGGGCACTTTTGGGGCCGGGGAGGCACTTTTGGGGCTCCCTGACCCCCGTGCCTGCAGGTGAAGAAGGCGTTCTTCGCGCTGGTGACCAACGGTGTGCGGGCAGCCCCGCTCTGGGACAGCAAAAAGCAAAGTTTTGTAGGTGAGCGAAGGCTCCGGGGGTCTCTGGGGGCTGAGGGGGGCTGGCAGGACCCTCCTCACCCTGCCTGCCCCCCAGGAATGCTGACCATCACCGACTTCATCAACATCCTGCACCGCTACTACAAATCCCCCATGGTGAGGGCCGGGGTCTGCGGGGGGCTCAGGTCGGGCTCTGCCTGCCCCACCTGGCCCTGGGTGCCTGATCCGGGTTTCTCCTCCTCCTCCTCCTCACAGGTGCAGATCTATGAGCTGGAGGAACATAAAATAGAGACGTGGAGAGGTGAGGGGGGTCACTGCTGGCTGCCTCCCACCCTTCCCAGCGTGCCCAGAGCCCCCCAGAGCCGTGTCCCACCCCCCCATCCCCTCACCCACCCCTCTCCCCACAGAGGTTTATCTGCAAGACTCCTTCAAGCCACTGGTCTGCATTTCCCCCAATGCCAGGTACCCCGGGGGGCAGGGAGAGGGGCACAGCTGGTGGTGGCACTCCCAGGAACACCCCAAATCCCCCCTCCCTTCCCCCCCACAGCCTGTTTGACGCCGTCTCCTCCCTGATCCGGAACAAGATCCATCGCCTGCCCGTCATCGACCCCGACTCGGGGAACACGCTCTACATCCTCACCCACAAACGCATCCTCAAGTTCCTCAAGCTCTTTGTGAGTCTCTGCCCCTTGGTGATGGTGGGGGCCAGACCGGGACCCTCGGCCTGGGCTGTGCCAGGGTCATGCTGGGACCCCCAGCCTGGGCTGTGCCTGGTACCTGTTCCAGGTGTTACCCCAGGATGTTCACCCTGGGCTGTACCAGGGGCCACCCTGAGCCTCTCAGCTCAGGCTGTGCCTGAGGTTGCCCCAGAACCCCCATCCTGGACTGTGCCAGGTCCCTGAGCCAGGTGCTACCCTGGGACTCCCATTCCAGGCTGTGCCAAGGGCCAGACCAGGCTATGCCAGGCCCTGAGCCAGGTGCTACCATGGAACTCCCATTCCAGGCTGTGCCAAGGGCCAGACCAGGCTATGCCAGGCCCTGAGCCAGGTGCTACCATGGAACTCCCATTCCAGGCTGTGCCAAGGGCCAGACCAGGCTATGCCAGGCCCTGAGCCAGGTGCTACCATGGAACTCCCATTCCAGGCTGTGCCAAGGGCCAGACCAGGCTATGCCAGGCCCTGAGCCAGGTGCTACCATGGAACTCCCATTCCAGGCTGTGCCAAGTGCCAGGCCAGGCTATGCCAGGCCCTGAGCCAGGTGCTACCATGGAACTCCCATTCCAGGCTGTGCCAAATGCCAGGCCAGGCTGTGCCAGGCCCTGAGCCAGGGGCTGCCCTGAGACCCCCACCTCAGGCCATGCCAAAAGCTGCCCCAGAGCCCTTGGCTGCTCCAGGGGTCACTCTGAAACCCCCAGCCTGGGCTGTGCCAGGTGCCTGCATGCCAGGTATCACCAGCTCTGGGTGGGCACAGCTCTGGTACCTCACCACACACTGCAGAGCCAGAGGACCCCCAGGACTCTGCGTGGATCCTGTGTAGGGGTCCCACAATCCCCCCAGCTCTCTATGCTTCCCCCCACAGGCCTTGGCTCAGCCCTGTCTCCTCGCTGTCCCCTCAGATCTCAGAGGTGCCCAAGCCTGAGTTCATGGCACGGACGTTGGAGGAGCTGCAGATTGGCACCTACAGGAACATCGCCGTGGTTGGCACCAGCACCCCCATCTACGTGGCCCTGGGCATCTTCGTGCAGCACCGCGTCTCCGCGCTGCCCGTGGTCGATGACTCGGGTAAGGATGTCCTGTCCTGGCTTTGGCTGTCCCCAGGTGACCTCCTTGGGGGCTGTGTCCCCTCCGGAGCACCAGGGGCTTGGCTGAGCTGCTGCCCTCCCTCCCCAGGGCGCGTGGTGGACATCTACTCCAAATTCGATGTTATTGTGAGTACTGCTGGGGGAAAATCCTGGGTTGGGGGGAAAATTCTGGGTTGGGGGGACACTGTGGGGGGGTCTCCTAATCCCAGCTGCGTCCCCAATGCTTGTCCCTGCCCCAGAACCTGGCAGCTGAGAAGACCTACAACAACCTGGACGTGACGGTGACGCGGGCGCTGCAGCACCGCTCCCACTACTTCGAGGGGGTCCTCAAGTGTTACAAGCACGAGACGCTGGAAACCATCATCAACCGCCTGGTCGAGGCTGAGGTAACAGTCCCGGGGTGCTGGGGGGTCAGGTAGGGGGGAGGCTGGGGTCCCTGCACCCCCTCAGCCCCTCCTTGTGTCCCCCCTCCCCAGGTCCACCGGCTGGTGGTGGTGGATGAGAGCGATGTGGTTAAAGGGATCGTCTCCCTCTCGGACATCCTGCAAGCCCTGGTCCTTCCCCAGGGCCCCTGAGGCAATGTGGGGGGGGGGGGGTTCAGTCCTCCCAACCCCCCCCACTCTCTTCTCAGTATCACTGTGCCCCCCCCCGGGCTGGTGGGGACACCCGGGGAATGCCCCCACTCACCAGCAGCATCCAGCAATAACCCCCAGCCCTGGGGCAGCTCCTGCTGCCTTTCCCTGGGTGGGGGGAGCCCACAGCCCCCCCATGCTGTGCCCTGCACCCCAAAGCCGTGTGGGGCGATGGGGGCAGCCCTTGAACCCCCTGGGGTGCCAGGCTGGGGTCACCCTTAGCCATGCCAGGGCTGTTCCTTGTGTGGCCTCTCATCCCTGTCACCCTGCACCCTCTCCCTGGGTTTGGTGAAACCCACTCAGCTCCACCCGGCCCGGGGACCCCCCCCACGCCCCCGGGGGTCTCCCCCCAGGTTCCCCCGGCTGTGCCCACACCCGCCACCGCTTCGTGTGTGAAGAGAAGCCACGAATAAACACAGACCTGGCACCACCCTGGCTCCGTGCAGGGCACGGGGGGCGTTGGCCTGGGAGGGGGTGTGTGGGGAGGGGCTGTGGCCCCCCCGTGGGAAGGGGGAATCTGCTGAGCTCGCCCAGACCCTAAATCCCTGTTTGTTACGCCTGTGGCTTTTCTAAAAAGCCAGAACTGGGGATGGGACAGAGACGGGGACCTGGCAGGACATGGGGACCCTCTGGTGGGCACCGCGGTGAGCGGGGGGAGTCGGGCAGGGTCTGGGGGAGATGGAGGGGGGAGCTGGATGTTAGGGTGCCGTGGGGGGCTGGCGGGGGTCGCGGGCAGCTGGGACACCGCAGTTTGCAGCCGGTGTCCACAGGGGAGGCGCGAGGCCCGGCCGTGCTGAGCGAGGCACATTCCTGGCAGGGAGGGGACAGCCGGCCCAGGGACCCTGTCCGTGCCAGTCCCGGGGTCCGGCAGAGGCTGCGGAGCGAGGTGAGCGCCGGGCAGGTACCGGGGGGCCCGGGGGACTCGGGGGGGGGTGCCGTGCCGGTTGCCATGCCGCCGCCGGAGGGTTGCTAAGCTCCGCTCGGAGCCCGCGTGGGCTGCAGCGCTTGGTGCCAAACCCGCCATCGCCTGCTTGTCGCAGGGGGGGAAGGGATCCCGCGGGGCGGCGGGGAGGGGGGGGGACACAAACACACACACGCGACACGACACCCCTGGGACGGCCGGTGAGGTCCCCACGGTGCGCCGGCCTCCCGGGCGCCCGGGGGTCAGCGTGGCCCGAGGTGGCACCGGGCGGGACACGGGGTCCCCGGGGGCACACGTGCGGCAGGTGGGTGCGCGTGGGCGGGCTGGTGGCTCCGCCGAGGCTCCGGTGAGCCCCCCTCCGTGGGGACCCCCCTGTCGGCCGGGGCCATGCTGGGGGGTCCGGAGAGGGGTGCGGGGCGCCTGCGGATCTGCGAGCGGACCAAGCTGGTGCTGGTGGAGATCGACACGGTGGCGTGTTGCAGCCCGGGTGCCGCCACCGGCATGGCTGCGGGCTGCTGGCCCGAGCCCCCCTGGACCTACCGCCGCATCGCCGGGGAGTACGCGTGAGTGGGGACCGCGGGGGGGGTGAGGGGGGGGTCCGTCCTGCTCCCCTCCCTCGCTCCCCTCACTCCCCCTCTCTGTCTTGCAGGTACCTGGAGAAGCGCTTTGTGGCCGAGCTGGCCCCCCCCTGGTCCCCAGTGCCCTCCAACCCCCCTTGTCGCCTGCAGGACTTCACCACCCGGCCCCGGGTACCCCCCACCCCCTGCCCCCCGCGGCAGCTTGAGGGGCCAGGGGGCAGCGGAGCCTGGGGGGGGCACCCTGTGCCCGTGCCTCGGCCCCCGGTGTCGGGGGACAAGCTGGGCCCCCCCACCTACGAGGTGCACATGCAGCGGGTGCAGGCAGCCCACGCCCGCCGTGGGGGACCCCCCCCTTACATCGCACCCCCCGCCTATGACGGTCCCCACCGCACCCTGCAGCTCCGCCCCGTGCGGGGACCCCGCAGCCCCCCGCCGGCTCCTCGGGCCCGGGGGGCTGTGCCGGGCGGCTGGAGCCACACACTGCCCCGAGCGGCCACCGAGGCCAAGCACCGGTGGCCCCGTGGGATGCAGCTGTCCCCGGGAGGGCCTGGCACCCCCCGGCACTGCCAGACGCTTCCACGGGCATCAGCCGGCCGGGAGCGGGCACCGGGGCGCGGGAGGGGGCAGCGGGGGACGGGGGGACACGTCCTCATTGACGCCACCCGCGTGGTGGTCCGTGCCCAGTACGTGCCACCCCCGCAGCGACAGCAGGTCCGCTATGCCAGGGCGTCCCTGGGGCCTGGCACCCCTCCTCGCAGCCCTTCCGTGCCCCCCGGGGTTGGCAGCCCTTCTGCTGCGCCCTCGCCCTCCCGGGAGCCCTCCGGCAGCCCCCGCAGCCCGTGGCAGAGCCCGGGGGGCTGCAGGGGTGCCCGCGGGCGGCCCCCGCCGCGGCGGCCGGTGCTGTACGCCCAGGCGCTGCGTGAGGCCGTGTCCCGCATCCGCCGGCACACGGCGCCCGACTCGGACTCGGATGCCGAGGGCAGCGTGGGGGGCTCCCGGCAGCGGCTCTGCCGAGACCCCCGCGCCTACAGCAGCAGCAGCAGCAGCCTGGAGAGCACCGGAGCCCCCCCGGGCTCCGCCAGCCCCACCCCTGCCTGAGAGGAGGGGCTTGAAGGGGTGTGGCACTTCTGGGGCGGGGCTTACAGGGGTGTGGTTCTCAGGGGAGGGGCTCGGGTGGTCTCGGAGGTGGGGCTCAGGGCTGGAGTTCCCACGGGCTGACCCCAATAAAAGCTCCGGGATCCCGGTGTGCTGCCTCTGCCCCTGTTTGTGTGAGGTCGAGGATGGGGGCATCACCTCCTCAGCAAGGACACAGGTGTCTGGGCACGCCCCCATGACATTCCCGGTGTCCGGACCCCCCCCCTTTACGGTGCCGGGGTCAGTCGGAGGTCCCGGGTGTCCCGGCGGCCACCACAGTGCGTCACAACACGGGCAGGACGTGCCAGCTCCCCCCGTATCCCCCATAATGAGTAGGTGAGCACAGCAGGGCTGGCCCTCGGCCACCGACCCCACGTCACGGCCGTGGGGGGACCCCGAGTGACTCACCCGGGGGGGGGAACTGTCCCCCCCCAAGCAGCCGCCACCTCTTAGTCACACTGCGGGGGGGGGAGGATCCCCGCGGCCCCAGGAAACCGCACAAATATCGTGTCCAATTTGCACGTTATTTAAAACCGGCTCCTCCCCCGCCCCCCTGCGCGACCCTGTCATTATCGCGGTGACACCGGCCCGGAGGTCACGGCACGGGGCAGCTGTCGCAGCAAGGCCACCCGGTAGGCTGGGGGGGCACCCCCAGGGCCACGTCACCCCATGTGTCCCCTGTCCTGGCACGTGGCCAAGGTGGCATTGGAGTCCCACACCTGGGTCTGGCTTGAGCCACAGTGACAACTGCAGCCCAGCGTGGCACAGGTGTGGCCCTGCACACGGTACGGTGGCACCTGGCACGGCTTGGCATGGCCTGGCACGGCACAGGATGGTTGGCACGGTGTGGTGTGACCCACGTGTCTTGTCACGGATTGTCACAGCACGATGCAGTCTGCCACGGGCTGGCACAGTTTGGAATGTGGCTTGGTATGGCCCAGCACACCTTGGCACAGCTTGGCATAGCCTGGCACATCTTGGCACGGGTCAGCTTGGCACAGCAGCCTGGCATGGCTTGGCAAAGCCCAGAAGAGCCAAGCACAACTCAGCAGCCTTGGCACGGCTTCAAATGGCAAGGGACAGCTCAGAACAGCTCGGTGCAGCCTGGCAGAGCTTGGCACAGCCTGATACCACCTGACATGGCTCAGCACGGCTCAGCATGGCTCAGCAAAGCCCAAAACGCTTGGCACAGCCTGTTTGGCATAGCTCAGCACAGCTGGGCACGACTTGGCACACCTTAGCACAGCCTGGCATGGCTCAGTTTGGCACGGCACACCTTCAAAAAGCCCAAAACAACCCAGAACAGCTCTTTGTGACTTGGCACGGCTTGGCACAGGCTGGCATAACCTGGCACGGCTCAGCACAGCCTGGCACAGCCCAGCACAGCACGTCAGGCTCGGCGCGGTGCCCGGCGTGGCGCGGGGTGTCCCAGACGCAGGGGCAGCGGCGCGGCCCTTCCCGTGGGATCAGCTCCTGCCCAAACCCGCTCCCCGCCGGGAAAATCACCTTCTAATTCGGGCTGCTCCGGCGCCAGCGCCTTCCCCCGGCACCCCCGGGGCACCCGCTGGCCCCCCAAAGTCGCCGCAGCCCGGGGTCCCCCCGGGGCCAGGGGGGGCTCAGCCCGTGGGGTGCCAACGCGTGGGAGCGGGGGGTCCCGCCCGGTAGCGGAGCCCCCGGAGAGGGACGCGTTGTCGCCTGTGGCCGCCAGATGTCGCCGCGCAGCCGGTGACCGCGGGCACCGGGGGGCACCGGGGGGCACCGGGGGGCACCGGGGGTCCTGCCTGTCCCGGGAGCGGTGCTGTGTCCCCAGAGAGCCGTCAGCCACGTGTGACATCCGTGCCGGTGCTGTCTGAGAGTCACGGCAGTCCTGTGTGTCACCGGGGCTGGCGGTGTCCCCAGGGAGCTGTGACCCTCGCGTGTCACCGGTGACGGCGGTGTCCCCAGAGGGCTGTGTCCGTGGATGTGCCAGCTCTGGCTGTGTTCCCAGAGAGGCATGACCCGCATGTGTCGTGGGTGCTGGTGGTGTCTGAGAGCCTCGTGTGTCACTTTGTGACAGCGATGTCACCACAGACCTGTGCCCATGTGTGTGCTGCTGCTGTCCCCAGACAGCCGCGACCCGTGTGTGTCACTGGTGGTGACTGGCGTCCCCAGAGAGCCGTGTCTCATGTGTCACTGCTGTTGGCAATGTCCCAAAGGAGCCACGTCCATGTATGTGCCAGCGCTGGCGGGGTCCCCAGCGAGCTGTGACCTTCGTGTGTCGCCGGTGACAATGGTGTCCCCAGAGATCCGTGTCCGTGTGTGCGCTGCCTTGGCAGTGTCCCCGCGGCGCCGCCACCCGCACGTGCAGCTGGCACCGGCCATGCCACATCCCACGCGTGCCAGCAGCGCTGTCCGTGTCCCCACAGCGCCGTGTCACCTGGTTACCCGCCACCTTCCTGAGCGTCCCCAGCGTGTCCCTGTCCCAGCGCTCCTGCCCGCGGGTGCCGGCTCTCCCAGGCCGCGCGAGGAGCCGGTGGGAAGGGTCCGGTGAATGCGGCATTGTTGCGCGGGGTTGGAGTCACAGATAATTACCTCAATTAGTTACAATGGCAGAGTAATAAATACAGGCTTAGCGGCTCCTTCCCCACTGCGGCTTCTCAGATTAATCCAGCCCGGGCGAGCGGAGCTGAAAGGATTGATGGACAATTCATTAAACCCGCCGAATGCCGCACAAGGCACCCGTGAAGGCCGGCGTTAGCCCCCGGCGGCTCCGCTTTGTCCCTAATTGTTCGTCTCGGGCATTGGTCACCTATCAGGGAGTGGGTGACGGCGACGGTCCCCCCGGGGCTGGCATGCCCGGGGATTAGAGGCCAGCGCTGCCACCGTTGCTGGGCGCGTTGGCCCCGCGCCGGAGGAATGCGGCGGATGGGAGGGGGCGGCCGGACAAGCCGGGAGCTGGCGGGACGTGGGTCCGCATCGACCGGAGGCGAGGGGAGCCGGGACGGGGCTGTGCCGCTGGTGATGGTGACAGGGGATGGGGTGGGATGGGAGGGGATGGGGAAGGTTCCACAGGTGGGATGGGGCCACCTGAGGGTCTGGGCAGGTGGGCACTGTCTGTCTGTCCTGTCCTTCTGCTCTGCTTTTCTGGAATTGACAGAGTCCTCCTGCCCCACACTTCTGGGCGCTGTCCTGTCCTGTCCTGTCCTGCACCTCTGGGAATGACACAATTCCTCTGTCCTGCACCTCTCGGCACTGTCCTGTCCCTCTGTCTGGATTCTGGGAATGACACCATCCCTCTGTCCCACACCTCTAGGCATGGCTCTGTTCTGCATCTCTCTGTGTCATCCTGTCCCTCTGTCCAGAAACTTTGGTCATTGTGCTGTTTTTCTGTCCTGCACTTCGGGGAATGTCACTATCCCACTGTCCTGCACCCCTGGGCATGGCTGTGTCTCTCTGTCCTGCACCACTGGGCACTTTCCTGTCCCAGTGTCCCACATTTCTGGGAATGACATCTTTCCTCTGTCCTGGAAGCAGCCCTGTCCCTCTGTCCTGCACTTCCGTGTGTCATCCTGTCTGTCTGCCCCACACCCCCAGGCAGAGCCCCCTGCACCCCATCCCTGAACAGGGTTGGGGTTGTCCCATCCCTCAGCAGAGCCAGCTTGTGGCCACCATCCAGCTGTTCCCAGATGTGACAGCCTGCTGCAGGATGGCACCGCCCTCTCCCTGGCCCTGCTCTGGCCCACAGCAGCTATTTCCAGCACCCAGGAATATTTGTCCAAGCCGGGGAGGTCTGTGCCCGGTGCCCAGGTTGCCCCTGCCCACCCGGGGGTCGCGGCTGCCCGAGGTGCCCAGCAGGACACACAGGAAAAGCTGAGTAACAGAGGTGACTTATAAGAATGTCATTATCTATATTCCTGACTCCTACCGCAGGAAAACAGGCTATTTTCATGCTGAAGCAGGAGCAGAATTTAGCAGGCAGATAACCCGGCAGGCGGGAGATGCTCGGAGGGTTATTTCGGGCTGTGTTCCTTTCCAGGCGTTTTCCTTGCCTTTTGGTATTTTATTCTCCACGCTGGGCTGTGTTTTGACCTTGGCGCGGGCAGCGGGGGCCCCCAGGGTGTTTTTCCCCCCCCTCCTTTGAGTCTAAACATCAACTTTTCCACTATCGGCTCCGCGGGATATTTCGGGTGGTGGCAGCGTCATCCCGCAGCCTTTGATGCGGCACAGCCTCAGGGGCCCCGAGAGCTTCCCGGCTCTGGGGGGGGAGCCCGGGCTGGGGGGACCCCCGGGACAGGTGGGCACCAGGCTGGGGGTCCCCCAGACACGGAGAGGGAGGTTTTGATGTCCCCAGGTGTGAAGTCACGGTGCAGGGGGAATGTGTGCACCCTGTGCCCTCCGCAGGGGTGCCCATGACAGGGGGATGCCTGTCCCAGAAGGATGCCCTTCCCAAGGATGCCCCTTCTGGGCATATGCCCACCCCTTTGGGATGCTTATCCCAGGGAAAAACCCATCTCAAGGCATGTCCTGCATGCTGAATTCCCATCCCGGTGGGGTGCCCACTCCAGTGGGAGGACTGTCCCAAGAGGATGCCCATTGTGACGGGATGCCCATTCCAGAGGGATTCCCATCCTGAGGAAAGCCTGTCCCGGAGAGATGTCCATCCCAGGAGGATTTCCACGCCAGCAGAACACCCGCCAGCCACGGAGCTGCATCCCCCCCTTTGCCACAGCGTTTCTCTTGTGGTCACACACGGATGTAGGGCTGTTTGTGGGGCCAGTGGCCATCTCCGTCCCCTCTGGCCCCTGCCCCGGTAACCCCGGTGCCCTCCCCCGGCCCTGCTTTTCCCCCGGAGCCGAGGGGAGCCGTCAGCCCCGGCCGGTAGCGGTGATGGACGATGCTCATTCCCTGTCTGTCGTCTTGTACCTCCCGGGGCCGCTCCCAACTCCCGGCCTCGGCGGCACCAGCCCGACCGCCCCGGCAAATTCCAGCATCGGAGATGCTGCAGTCAAGGTGCCATGGTGATGGGCGCCGCAGCCGTGGGGATGGACGTCCCGGCCGGGAGCGGCGGCAGGAATGGCTGGGATGGAGACGGGCACAGCGGGAGAAGGAAGGGGGTCTGCGGGGAGGGGAT